CAAGTTTCGTGTCATTTGGACTCCGTTTGATACTCCAACGGTTAACCGAGGGACCGAAAAGGCCTCGTGTGTATTGAAGTACAACACCTCTACAAAGTGGCCCAAAACCCACCTAAACCTGTTCCATCATCTAGAGTGTTCGATCACGATCGCGTGGCCACAAACCGCACCTCATTTGGAGCTTCCTAACTCCCTCTACCTCTATAAATAGACCCCCATTCTAAAATTCCGGGTCTTCTCCTACCCTAGACCTAGCCCCTTCTTCCTCCGCGCGATCGGACACATCCGGTCCGGCCGGACAACCTCGCCGCCACCAACGGCAGCACGCCACGTCATCCCGCCGACCCGCCGCCGCCCGAGGCTCGCGGAGCCCGATCCGGGGCCCCGCGGCCCATCCCGCCGCCGCCGCACGGGGGCGCCCGCCCGCGGTCGCCTCGCCGTGCCGCTGCCCAGAGTTGCGCGCCAGCCGGAGCAGCTCACTCGCCGGCGTGCTCTTCCTCCGCCGCAGCCAGCCAGCGCCTCGCCGCCCGAGACGCCGCCCCTCCTCTCCGGCAACGCCCTCCGCCGCCATCGCCTCCTCACCACCGGATCCAGCCACCTCCCTCATCTCCGGCGTACAGGAACTTCGGTGAACAGTGGAACCCCGGCGAACCTCGAAATCCGTGCCAAATCTGGATCTGGAGACTCGGTTGACTTTTGCCCCCTAACTCTAGTTTTTATGCACTTTTCATCGCATCATAACTTCCTCATCGTAGCTCCGATTCGTGCGTGTAGCATATCAAAATGTTCGTCTCGACGAGTACATCATTTCATCTCACTGCATCATTTTCATTTGAGCTCATCTGGATGCCTGAACTGCTGTTGGAAGAGGGCTATGTGGTGATAGTTTCAGATCTGTTTCAGCAAATGCACTTTTGTCATTTTTGCCATGATTAATGTGTGCATGCTATGATCCTGAGCTCTACATGTGTTTTGTAAAATGTCATGCCATCTTTACAGGGGTGTATGCCATGTATTTTTTTGATCTATGTGGTGACTAGCACAAGCATGCAAAGTAGCTTACTCAATGATGCTGATTTCAGGGACTTAGAATTTCACTAAGTCATTGCCCTGTCATTATTTTTATGTCATATGTTCATGTTGTTTCCTAGTGATCCGTGCCCCTTTTGAGCATGATCAGTAAGGATGTTTTGTTGATAATGTTGAGCTCTATCCATCCATGTCTTTGTTTGAAATTATGGAGCACCCTAGCTTGAGTCAATCGAGCTCTACTTTTGCTATAAAATGTTCCTGACAGATTATTAACATGTTTAACGATTTTGCCGAGCTTGTTGTTGTTGATCCGTGCATGCTATGTTGTTGTTCTTGCCATGTCTATTTGCTGGGTGTATGCTTAGTTTGTCATGAAATGCCTCGTAGTGAGTGCATCGAGCTCGTAAACATGCCTACTTGATGTCTGTTTTGCATACTCCAGTTTTTCACTAAGTCTGAATCTGTTTATGTTTTTGCTATGTTCACATGCTTGCAACTGTATTTTCTGATCCCTTTTGGCTTATGGTCACTAAGGGACTTTTGTTATATGCTTTGAATAGCTTCATGACATGCCTTTCTTTGTCATGATATGTTCCTGTAGCATGTAGTTTTCGTGCTCTAAACATTGCTTCCTGATGATAAATTCCTGATTTATTGTTAATTTCACTAAGTCTGAAACCTGTTATCTTTTGCACTTTTTCCATGCTTGTTTGAATCTGCTATTGAGTGAATTAGCCGTAGCTCAGTGTTCATATTTTGTCAAGCATCATGAGTGGATCCCTGCCATGTATTTTGTTGCCATGTTTGAGTGCAGTAGCTTATTTATCTTGATGCATTTAGATGGTCTCGTGCTGATTATCGCACACCGGTGCCATATTTGTTTTGCTTGTCATTTCCAAACCGTGCATCCGAATCCGGTGATCTTTATATCGATTTAGACCGAAATGAACTCCCCTTTCTAGTGGCACTCTTGGATTTCCAAGTTGAGGCCAGGTTCAATCATTCCTTTGCAAATCTTGCATATGCATCACATATCGCATCCCGCATATCATACCATGTTTGCATCATGTTGTTTGAGCATTGCACGTGATTGATTATGTCCTTTTGCTTGTTGTTCTTGCTTGGGTAGAGCCGGGAGATAAGTACGTGAACGAGGAGCCCGTTGAGTACGCTTACGAGGATCAAGGCAACTCTGAGAACTTTGCAGGCAAGATGACCATACCCTCGAAATCACTTCTATCTTTGCTTGGTAGATGTTTGCTCTTTTGCTATGCCTATGCTACGATACCTACCACTTGCTTATCATGCCTCCCATATTGCCATGTCAAACCTCTAACCCACCTTGTCCTAGCAAACCGTTGTTTGGCTATGTTACCACTTTGCTCAGCCCCTCTTATAGCGTTGCTAGTTATAGGTGAAGATTGGAGATCGTTCCTTGTTGGAACTTGTTTATTGTTGGGATATTACTATATTATCTTGTTTATCTTAATGCACCTATATACTTGGTAAAGAGTGGAAGGCTCGGCCTTATGCCTGGTGATTTGTTCCACTCTTGCCGCCCTAGTTTCCGTCATATCGGTGTTATGTTCTCGGATTTTGCGTTCCTTACACGGTTGGGTTATAATGGGAACCCTTTGACAGATCGCCTTGAATAAAACTCCTCCAGCAATGCCCAACCTTGGTTTTACCATTTGCCACCTAGCCTCTTTTCCCTTGGGTTTCCGGAGCCCAAGGGTCATCTTTATTAAAAAAACCCTGGTCCAGTGCTCCTCTGAGTGTTGGTCCGACCGAGTAGACTACGGGGCCACCTCGGGATAACTTGAGGGTTGGTTTTACTCGTAGGATGTATCATCTGAGTGTGCCCTGAGAACGAGATATGTGCAGCTCCTATCGGGATTTGTCGGCACATTCGGGCGGTGTTGCTGGACTTGTTTTACCATTGTCGAGGATGTCTTGTAACCGGGATGCCGAGTCTGATCTGATTGTCTTGGGAGAAGGAATATCCTTCATTGACCGTGAGAGCTTGTGATGGGCTAAGTTGGGACATCCCCGCAGGGATTTGAACTTTCGAAAGCCGTGCCCGCGGTTATGGGCAGATGTGAATTTGTTAATGTCCGGTTGTAGATAACATGAAACTTAACTTATTAAAATGCACCAACCGCGTGTGTAACCGTGATGGTCTCTTCTCGGCAGAGTCCGGGAAGTGAACACGGTGTTGGAGTAATGCTTGACGTAGGTTGTTCTAGAATCACTTCTTGATCATAGTTGTTCGACCGTGCTTTTGCCTTCTCTTCTCGCTCTTTTTTGCGTATGTTTAGCCATTATATATGCTAGTCGCTTGCTGCAGCTCCACATCATACCTTACCTTACCTATAAGCTTAAATAGTCTTGATCGCGAGAGTGTGAGATTGCTGAGTCCCCGTGACTCACAGATTACTTCCAAAACCAGATGCAGGGACCGATGATACCACTCCAGATGATATGACCGAGCTCAAGTGGGAGTTCGATAAAGACTCTCGTCGTTACTACGTGTCTTTCCCAGATGATCAGTATTGGTGCCCAGTTGGGGCAATCGGGGACTTTGTCGCATTTGGGGGTTGTTCTTCATTTTGGTTTCGTAGTCGGACCTTGAGTGTATTGGATGAATGTAATGTTATTTATGTATTTGTGTGACGTGGCGAGTGTAAGTCAGCTATGTTACTCTTATTCCCTTATTGTATTACATGGGTTGTTGTGAAGATTACCTCACTTGCGACATTGCTTTCAATGCGGTTATGCCTCTAAGTCGTGCTTCGACACGTGTGAGATATAGCTGCATCGAGGGCGTTACACAAGGAGTTCAACACACTACCACACATGCTTGCAAACTAGCATACTACACATCAACTAGCATACTACCAATGCACCACGACTAGCTAGCAATCATTGCTGACATGGAAACAACTCATAGCATGCTACAATTCCATCACCACTAGCTACCAGAACATCAAATTCTCACAGATCGATAATGTATAGTGCTAGCCACAGCTTATCACATGCTCACACATCTGGCTAAAGTGGGTAAGTAGAGAGTAGGGGGGTGATCGAACTCACAACCATTGACGCAGCCGGAAGGAGGCGCGGAATAGGTCAGAGAAGAGGAGGACTCGATTCATCGTCGACGTGAAACGAGAGCCAGAGAAGAAGCATCGCTTACCGGCTCGTCAGTGTCGATCTGTGCGGGAAGGGAAAGCTCGTAAGGGGTGAATGGTGGCGGCAGTTGGGCGGTGAGATGAGGGTGGCTATATAGGGCGGCCGAATCGACGGGAGGTGACCTTAATTCCTCCCGTTGCTTTTTCGAAGATGCACATGGG